AAATAGTGAGGGGAGAGCCACTGTGCTGAGCTCAGAAGAGGAAGGGTGGGACAAAAGTATAACAGGTAGATAAATCAGTATCCATTATAAATATGAGCTGTACTGTGCGTTCCTCAGGCTCCTAAACTGCTGAAAATAGCGAGGGGAGAGCCACTGTGCTGAGCTCCAAAGAGGAAGGGTGGGACAAAAGTGTAACAGCCTGCAGTGTTCCCTCTAAGCTGAGTTAGAGTGAGCTAGCTCACAGTTTTTTAGCCTCTGGCTCACACATTTTTGTCTTAGCCCAAGAAGGATGGCTCCAGAGCAAACTAATTTATGCAGTAGCCAAATTGCTTGCTCACAACTTTAATGCCAGGGGCTCACAAAGTAGACTTTTTGCTCACAAGACTCCACAGCTTAGAGGGAACAGATAAATCTGTATTCATTATAAATATGAGCTGTGCTGTGCGTTCCTCAGGCTCCTAAACTGCTGTCAACCTCTTCCCCTGACCTACAAGCTGGCCTAAGCCCCACCCCTTTTCTACCAGGCCCCAGCCCTGTATCGCCACCCCTGCTTTGCTTCCTGTTTCTCAGGTTCCAGCCCTGGATCTGCAAGGCTCGAAGGATGCTCGAAAACACACTGGTTCAGCTTGCAAAGTGGGTACCAGGGTTGCCAACCTCCAGGCGGTGGCTGGAGATTTCCTGCTATTACAACTGATCTCCAGGTGGCAGAGATCAGTTCCCCTGGAGAAAATGGCTGCTTTGGAGGTTGGAGTTTATAGCATACCTCACTGAGTCCTTCCACTTCCCATACCCTGCCTTCCTCAAGCTTCATCCCCAGGAATTTCTCAACTCAGAGCTGGCAGTTCATCTGGGAACTGATTTTTCGACAGACTGTATGTCTGTTCGTTGACCTGCTTGTGGCTGTGCACCAGGTTGATTCATCGTATTCCTTCCTGACACTGCACTACAGGGCAATCAGCTTTTCACACAGGCGTATTTTCAAACAGTCCAGTGGAGTTCTACTGGCCCATTCAACAGGCAGTTGTTTAAACAGTTAGAGCCAGTGTGGTGTCGTGGTTAAGCGTGTCAGACTAGGATCTGGGAGACCCAGGTTCGAATTCCAACTCTGCCATGGAAGCTCGCTTTGCTGACCTTGGGCCAGGCATACTCTCTCAGTCTAACCTACCTCACAGGGTTGTTGTGAGGATGAAAAGGAGGAGAGGAGAGCTGCTTTGGGTCCCCACTGGGGAGAAAGGCGGGTTATAAATTAATTCAATCATGTAGTATGAATGGGAATATAAAGATTTTTTTATATATAGGTTTTTTCTTCTTGATTGTTCATATTCATATTTTTTCTTGGTTTTATGGATTTCTCTTTTAAGTAATACTTTATTAGAATGTTAGAAAGACTTGTTATATAGAAGGCTTTCTTCTTGTAGGTCTGATATTGTTAGCAGACAACATAATAGGTACAGAGTTCATGATTCTGTAGTTCTTAAATGTTAGCCAAATTGCCTTTAATTATTAATTAGTCTAGGTGAAGTTATGATTATTAATTGGCAATAGGCAAATTAGGGTTCTCACCAATGTATACAGAAGTCCCACCTTTGCTGTAAACACCAGAACAGACACAGAGACTGTATTCAGTAAAATATAATGTATTTTTACTGGGGAATATACATCATTCAAACAATACACAACCACACACACATTTATAGAACTAAGGAAGCAGAGGTGATTGATAGTTTATAGAGGGGTTATACAACCTGGTCCAGATGTGCAGAGGTCCATGGATTGTGGCCTAAACTCAGAGAGTTTAGGGGTGGACTGCCATTTTGGATTATGGCAGAAAACACACGGGCTGAGGCCATGTTTACGCTGGGATATACCCTATGGAAGACAATGCAGACCAATGGCTGGTCCTGGGGGCCGGTCTCAGGTGAGAACAATAGTTTTCCTGGACCAATGATGAGTCCCAGGGGTGTGTAGCATCAGGATGGACAAGGCCTAGATGTGACCAATGAGCTTCCAGAGAGGCAGGGTCTGGATTTAACAATAGAAGCCAGGTGCTGGGTGGCTAGTTGAATGGATTATCTGACCACTAATGGTCCTGGCCAGGGTAAACAAAAGGTGGGAGACATCCCTGATTAGCATCAGGAAGGATCGTTAATAATTTGAATGTTTGACTGGTTTATCCTGGTATCTTGAGGGACAGAGTAGAAAAGACAAGTATTCAG